AATAATTTTTTTTGTTGAATAACATTCACAGAAAGTTTTATTTTCAAAGAATTACAGATTTGCAGACAGTTGCAATATTTTTAATTAAGCCATAATACCTGAATTGTTTTACTTTAGAATCTTTGGGTAGTAGTTAAAGACTGAAAGTGGATAAGGGTTAGGAGTCACTAATACATTAACACATGCCTTTATGCTGTACAAAGTGGGTAGAGTATCTTATTACTCAACTTTTTGGGAGTATTTGTAGAAAGTTCTTTTGGAAAACTTAAAGGATACCAGTCAGCCTTTCACCTAAACACTTACTCAATAAAATCTTGGTGAGCATTCACATGAGACATAAATGTCTTCCCTTAGGAAAAGCTAAAGCCAAGGTGCTTGCTAAAATACCAGATCCCAGTTCCACTGTAGGAAAGTTTTATGATTTATGTTTTGGGCAGGGCTTAGGAATTTCCACTGCAAACACTCCGAGGAGTTGTGATGTATTTTTTCTCAGATTGTACTTGAGGAATTAGGGTTTTATTTTTATTTTTATTTTTTATTTTTTTTTGAGATGGAGTCTTGCCCTGTCACCCAGGCTGGAGTGCTGGAGTGCAGTGGCATGATCTCGGCTCACTGCAACCTCAGCCTTCCCCCGAGTAGCTGGGATTACAGGCGTGCACCACCACGCCTGGCTGATTTTTGTATTTTTAGTAGAGATAGGGTTTCACCATGTTGGTCAGGCTGGGAGAAATTAGGGTTTTTAAGGGACCATAGTTTTGTTTCTGCTTTATATTCTTATCCATATATCCTTATATACATGAAACAGATTCATTGCAGTTACAGATATTTACTTCTACTTTTACACTCTGATTTTATTTTAATCATAGTGTGACCCCTGAAATTGATTTCAAAATTAGTGTCTCCATCCTTAGTTTGGTAACACTGCCTTAGGTATTATCTGTGTAAGGGCGACAGCAGGATTACTGAGATGAAGCGATCCCCATTTCTTCTTAAAGTGATTTATCTTTTTGGTCCTTTGAGGATGTTTTATTATTATTTAGATACATTTTTCTGCTTTGCTAGGCATTCACTACCCACACACAATTACCAGTTTTATTTCCCCTTTTCCCCCTTTTTGTAGTTTTCACTACAGTTTTCACTCATCGTTATACAATTAGGTGCTTCTTCCCTATGTTATTAAAAGCGTTTAACACTTGGGTATTTTGTATGCTTATGTGGGAACAGCAAAGAAGAAAAACAATCCAGTTGCGAAATAGTAACATTCTTACTGAACTTCATAAAGATAAACATATCAGATTCCATTACTTGATATAAACAGCTGTAAAGTAATTGGCGGGCCATACTTGCATTGAGAGTATGAATTAAATATATGGGAAGGACCCTAAACTCTAGCAAAATTGGCTTGTTGCAGTGGCTCTCGCCTGTAATCCTAGCACTGTGGGAGGCTGAGGCTGGTGGATCACTTGAGGCCAGAAGTTCAAAACCAGCCCGGCCAACATGGTGAAACCCCATCTACTAAAAATAAAAAAATTAGCCTGGTGTGATGGCATGCGCCTGTAATCCTAGCTACTCAAGTGGCTGAGACATGAGAACAGCTTGAACCCAGGAGGCGGAGGTTGCAGTGAGCTGAGGTTGCGCCACTGCACTCCAGCCTGGGCGACAGTGAGAGTCTGTCTCAAAAAAACAAAACAACCCCCCCCACCAAAGAAACCTCTAGTAAATTATTAGGTGTTTTTTGTTTTTGTATTTGTTTTATTTCTTTTTATTTTATTTGAGACGGAGTCTCTCTCTGTCTCCAGGCTGGAGTACAGTGGTGTGATCTCGGCTCACTGCGACCTCCGCCTCCCAGGTTCAAGCAATTCTCCCAAGTAGTTGGGACTACAGGTGCGTGCCATCACACCCAGCTCATTTTTGTATTTTTAGTAGAGACGGGTTTTCACCATGTTGGCCAGGCTGGTCTCGAACTCCTGACCTCAGGCCTCCCAAAGTGTTGGGATTACAGGCGTGAGTCACTGACCCTGGCCTTTTTTTTTTTTTTTTTTTTTTTTGAGACAAAGTCTTACTCAGTTGCTCAAGCTGGAGTGCAATAGCGCGAACATTGCCCACTGAAGCCCTGACCTCCCGGGCTCAAGCAATCCTCCCACCTCAGCCTCCCAAGTAGCTGGGATCACAGGTACACACCCCCATACCAGGCTAATTTTTCTATTTGTAGAGACATGGAGTCTTCCTGTGTTGCCCAGGCTGGTCTGAAACTCCTGGACTCAAGCAATTTGCCCACCTCACCCTCTCAAAGTGTTAGGATTACAGACGTGAGCCACTGCATCAGGCTTTAGGTTATTAGTTTGAAAATAAGATTAAATCACTTACATGAAGCAAATTAAATAAAGTAAATTTTAGCCAAGGAAAATGGCTGCTGTGTATTGACTTACTGATCTTTATCTGAATCCTTTAAGGTCGGAAATAGTGTTTTATTTTACACATGCAAAAATGAGTTTAGAGGATACAAACAGTTGATAAAGATAGCTGTGAAAATTCACCTCAAACATTAAGGTAAGTATGGTTTAGTTAGTCCTAATAAAAGGAAGGGAGCTGGATATGGTGGCAGGTGCCTGTAGTTCCAGCTACTCGGGAGGCTGAGGTGAGAGGATTGCTTGAGTTCAAGAGGTTGATGCTGCAGTGATCCATGATTGCACCACTGCATTCCAGCCTGAGTGATAGAGTGAGACTCTGTCTCTATAAAAAAATTTTATAAATCAATAAGAGGAAGGGCACTTCTCTTCATTCAGCTATTGAAACATCATGTGAATGTGTGATGGAGGCAAAATGATGCCTTCTTATGAGTTAGAAAATGTTATTGTTAATGTAAGTAGTGGTATTACATCAAATAAGTCACATTGTTTATGTTGGTTCTACATTAAAACACAAGAAGCACCTCTTTTGTCCTGTCATCTTTTGAAAAAGTGGTTAATGAGCTCCTGTGTACTGTGTAAGAAAGCGTTAAATGCTTAAAGTTACTTTGAGTTAAGTAAGGAAGCAAACACTTGGTTACCAGAAGTTAGAATGGAGAAAGCAGCTTTCTGTGCAGTCTGATACAATAGGAGGGTACCTTTCCTTTTTGGACTAGCCGAGACCTAATCTTTTCCTACCGTAGGTAAAAAAGCCTTTCCTTTTTATGTTTTGTAAGTATTTGCTGTAAGTTATTGGTTTGTGGTAGCCAAGCTAACAAAGACTTTGGGGAAAAAAGTATTCAGGTGCTAGAATAGTATCTGGTGTATGCTGGCTCTTTGTAAATCCTGCCCGCGTTTAGGTTTGTCCGCAGCTGTTAGTACCTAATATCAGGAGTTCTTCCTAGCAAAGGTATTCTGAACCTTTTTGGGAGCATAAGGACATTTCCGGCTGGACACGGTGGCTCACATCTGTAATCCCAGCACTTTGGGAGGCTGAGGCGGGCAGACTGCTTGAGCTCAGTCATTCAAGACTGGCCTGGACAACATAGTGAAACCCTGTCTCTACAAAAAATACTAAAATTAGCCAGTCATGGTGACATGTGTCTGTGGTCCCAGCTACATGGGAGGCTGAGATGGGAGGATTGCTTGAGCCTAGGAGGTCGAGGCTGCAGTGAGCTGTGATTGTACCACTGCGCTGCACCCTGGATGACCGAGTGAGATCCTGTCTTTTTTTTTTTTTTTTTTTTTTAACATTTTGGAGAATCTGGACACTGAAGATTTGTAATGTAGAAAAACAGACATATTTAACATTGGCATCTAGTTTTGTAGGTTCCGCGTGACTGACTACCCGAAGCCAATCTTTGGGTTTAGGTCTAAGCTCTTTGCCTTACAGGACTGGCATTACAGTTGTATTGTATTAGATACTGTTGGAATCAAATAGTGCATACAGTCAACATGCTAACATATATGCTGAAATTATTTGGTAGCGTGATTTGATTTTATGTGAAGAAAACTTAGTATAGCAAGTTTATTTTAAGGTTTATTTTAAGGATCAGGTTCTTGGTATTCAGCCCAGGCACGTTAAAACACTGTTATTTCTAACTCTATCAAATAAGGTTATTAAAAACTGAGAATTTTAAAGATTTGTATTAGGTACTGTGGTGTGCAAACAGGGTCTGGACCCGTAACAGTTTTCAAATCAGTTTAATGGGTCTGACTAGCCTTAAAACAAATGAAGTAGACCAGAGTAGAAAAGAAATTATGTATCACAAAATACACAGTTAAGTACTTGGTGAAACTTTTGCTTAAGTTTGTGTATTTATGTATATATGGATGCATGTATACATTCATAAGTGTTTTTATTGGATTGCAGTGCAAATATATTTCTTAATATGAGATGATTTAAAAAGTTAGAAAGCCACAGCTCTGTAACTGTTTGCTTCGGAAGTAGTTTGAGTATCTGAGTTCTTGATATTTTTGTGTTTTGGGAGACAGAATAGGTAACTAGTTAGGATGCAAGAGTAGAAGAGCAACTTTCTTTGAATCTTCAGTGATTAACCAATAAAGTTGAGATGGGATTTTACTCATTAAATAGCTTTGGATAGTTAAGGCTGAATTTGCTTTGTGGAAGTTTTGAAAGCTGTTATAACCAGAGGAAGAAATATATGTGTGTTTCACAAAAGTTGTAGTTGCATTTACTGAAAATGTTGTATATGGTTCAGTGAATGAAATATATGTGATGCTTAACATAAAGCTGTCTGAGAAAACATTCTTTCTGATTCAGTACTGGAAATACCTATTTTAAGTATAGTCAACTATTCTTGCATTGCTTAGGGCAGCTGTTTGTTTTTACCAAAAATGTAGGACCTAAAGAAATGAAGGTCTCTGGACTTTTGGGGGAAGAGATAGTAGATTTTTGTGTTCTTGTCTTTTAATATGAAGTAGTTTTCGGGAAAGGTTATGTAAGTAAGCATCAGGTGTTGTTTACGTTTAAGAAATTGAATTATAGATGTTAACTTAATGTCTTCTTTTTTTCTTCCATTTCTTTCAAAGGTTTGGGCCCCATGGTATCCCTGTGACAGTATTTCCCAAAAGGGAATATAAGGATAAACCAGAAGCCATGCAGCTCCAAAGTAATACATTCCAAGAAGGGACAGAAGTCAAGTGTGAAGCAAATGGTGCTGTTCCTGATGACCCTTCTCCTGTCCCGCATCCCGAGCTGAGTTTGGCTGAAAGCCTGTGGACTTCCAAACCACCACCTCTCTTCCATGAAGGAGCACCTTATCCTCCCCCTTTGTTTATCAGGGACACATATAACCAATCAATACCTCAGCCACCTCCTCGGAAAATTAAGCGACCCAAACGAAAAATGTACAGGGAAGAACCCACTTCAATAATGAATGCTATTAAACTACGACCCAGGCAAGTTCTGTGTGATAAATGTAAAAACAGTGTTGTTGCTGAAAAAAAGGAAATTAGAAAAGGTAGTAGTGCAAGTGACTCTTCTAAATATGAAGATAAAAAACGGAGAAATGAAAGTGTAACTACTGTGAACAAAAAACTGAAAACTGACCATAAAGTGGATGGGAAAAACCAAAATGAAAGCCAGAAAAGAAATGCTGTGGTTAAGGTTTCAAATATTGCTCACAGCAGAGGCAGAGTCGTAAAAGTTTCTGCTCAGGCAAATACATCAAAAGCTCAGTTAAGTACTAAAAAAGTTCTCCAGAGTAAGAACATGGATCATGTGAAAGCTCGGGAAGTGTTAAAAATTGCCAAAGAAAAGGCACAAAAGAAGCAAAATGAAACCTCTACTTCCAAAAATGCACATTCAAAAGTCCATTTCACACGTCGATATCAGAATCCTAGCTCAGGTTCCCTTCCACCCCGGGTTCGTTTAAAACCACAGAGGTACAGGAATGAAGAAAATGACTCTTCTCTGAAGACAGGACTTGAGAAAATGCGGAGTGGCAAGATGGCACCCAAGCCCCAGTCTCGCTGCACCTCTACCCGCTCAGCAGGTGAGGCCCCTTCAGAAAATCAGAGTCCCTCAAAAGGCCCTGAAGAGGCCAGCAGTGAGGTTCAGGACACAAATGAAGTGCATGTGCCTGGTGAGCAGGATGAACCACAGACATTGGGCAAAAAGGGCAGCAAAAACAATATCTCTGTTTATATGACCCTAAATCAAAAGAAATCTGACTCCTCCAGTGCTTCAGTGTGTAGCATTGATAGCACAGATGATTTGAAATCTTCCAACTCTGAGTGTAGTTCTTCTGAAAGCTTTGATTTTCCTCCAGGCAGTATGCATGCACCTTCCACCTCCTCCACTTCCTCCTCTTCAAAGGAAGAGAAAAAGCTCAGTAATTCCTTGAAAATGAAAGTCTTTTCCAAAAACGTCTCTAAATGCGTCACACCAGATGGCAGGACCATATGTGTAGGGGACATTGTTTGGGCCAAGATATATGGCTTCCCTTGGTGGCCAGCCCGTATTCTTACTATAACTGTGAGCCGGAAAGATAACGGCCTTTTAGTCCGACAGGAGGCCCGTATTTCATGGTTTGGGTCTCCAACAACATCTTTCCTTGCTCTTTCACAACTCTCCCCCTTTTTAGAAAACTTCCAGTCACGCTTTAATAAGAAGAGAAAGGGCCTGTATCGCAAGGCTATCACAGAGGCAGCTAAGGCAGCCAAGCAGCTGACCCCCGAAGTGCGGGCTTTGTTGACACAGTTTGAAACGTGAACATGGACAGTAAGGTAGGCAAGACCATTGGAAGTCACCACAGATTTTCTAGTCTAGTTAGGAATAATTTCTACGAAATAGCTTGGCCGGATTGGAGAGAGAAGTTGCACTCAGTTGGCTGGCTTTTTAATACTTACCTTATAGCCATTTTTAGACTGAGAAGCTTAAACTGAACATATAATCAAATTTTGTGTTAAGGAAATGAGATTTTAGCAGTATTTTTCAGTTTTGAAGTTCAAAACCATCCCAAGGCATAGGAGCCATAGCCTCAACTGAAATTGAATTTTTGTAGGGACTGTTAATTGCCATTTGTACCTAATACTGTATATATACACATATATATACATATATATATGAAATATAGCCTGTCACTGTGTGACACAGGTTGCATATTTGGGATTGCAGTAAGGGCTTGGTGAGCTGGGGGAATAGTGTGGATATTTAATGACTACTTGTTTTTTAAATAATGAACACTTAGCCTTATGCGCATAATGGTGTAAAAGTTAGATGGTTAGGTGTTTGATAAACAGATGCTTGCTATTCAGTTACAGACTGGGGAAATAGCCCAGTGTTTGGGATTAAAACTGTCAAGACTGGATAGGTGTTAGTCATCACTGTCTTTCGTCTGGTGGGGATTTAATAAATACTTTCAAGCTTCTGGTTTGGGAGTTTAGATAGGTTTGATTTTGGATTTGTAAATAGTTGATTGCTAAATTTGGTCAGATTTCTCCTGACTGGCTGTTCCTAAATTCTTAGGATATGTCCCAGTAAAATTACACTTTGTGAATTAATTGTCATATGTGTAATTGTTGCATTTTGGATGTACCTAATTTGATAATTAAAACAAAATAATTTCCGTTTAAGGTATCTGTTTGCAGGTCAGAAAATGAGAAAATGTAATTGTGTAATGCTTTGAAATGTAAAAAAAAAAAAAACAAAAAAAAACTAAATAAAATCAACTAAATCCAAATTATTTGTGTGTGTTTCTCAAAAAGCTTTGAAAAATTTCAAGATGGTAGAAAATTATTCTTTGTAAGAGTGTTTAGAAGAGATGAAAAAATCAAACTTTTATTTTGCTATTTGCCCTATCAGGGAGTATATTATCTGAGATAAGAAAACTTCAAATAATGAGAGATGAATCAGTATATTCTCAAAATAAGATTTTATAGTATAGAGGTTTGATAATGCTTTTAGATTTGATACCTCCTTCCTGCCAATTTCTCATAAATGTGTGAATTTTAATTTTTAGCCTTAATATTTCATCACATGCTTCCTTTTTTTACATTTGGGTAATTACAACCGGTCTCTTCTGTTTGGTTTTCTGCCTCATATATCACTGCTTTTGGGGCTAGTAACTTAGCTTACTATTTTTCTACATGGTCCATCTGTCCCTAAGATTTGATTTCTTATTTTCCATTTTTAGCTTTGTATTAGTAGTGAGAAATATATCTGATTTGCTGTGGAGGCAAGTTTATCTCAAGATTTTTAAAGTTGCTTTCATACGTTTTGTGTCTTAACAACTTTTGGATATCTAATTTCAATACTTTTAGAAATTTAAAAGTGTTAGCAGTTTTTGTGGATTTCTAAATCCAATTTGAAATAGTTATGGAACGCATAATGAAAAGATTAATGGAGGTTGAAAATCAATAGTCTTGTCAGCTTTCTTAAGGTAATGAACTGGTTATGAATTTCTGCAAAAGCAAGTGGAATTTCTTCTGGGGAACTCAATGCTTTTTGATTATTATGAACACACAATTTAAAAACATGTTTCACTTGAGTAGAACATATTCTTTCCTGCAAACAGAAACAACTATACTTAAAAAAAAAAATTCTTTGATTGAAATTCACAGTGTGGTTGAGAAGTTATAAGGAACTATCCTAAAAGATTTTCCAAGTATTTGTTTCAGATTAATGAACTTGTTAATTCAGGTGTTTTTAAAAGTTTGAAATCTAAAGTTCAGAAAGACTTAAAAATCACCAAAACATGTAATTCCAAGGCTGTGTGTAATGATCCGGGTGAGTTTTATCTTAACAGTGGTTTGAAGTGGACATTACTAATATGGTCAAGTGCTTGGTAAATGTGCTCTTGTGGCATAAACCAAATTTGATTTGTTTCAGAAGCCATGGGGAAAGAGAAGAAAGGAAAAAAAATCATGATTGTTGAATATAAAATAACATTCAGTTTTGTAGAACACACCTTTGAGGAAAAGGTTGAGCATATCACAAATGATATTATGCCAAATGACCCCTTTGCTTTAAACTGGCAGTCTGGCATATTTCATTTGTAGTTTCATTAGGGGAGCAAGTTTTAAAGAATCTCTCTAATCTTAAATGTGTATTCTAAACTCTAATAGCTGAATATTAAAAACTTTTGTTCCAATGGAAATGTCTTAGATACATTTGTCCAGTATCTACTGCAGATGGAGATATAGTTGAATTGGGTAGTTACAGCCACTTTATATTTCTCTTTGAAATGATAAAAGGCACTTATTCTTGATATGGAGATAACAGAAGTGGGTATTTTTTTTCCCTTTGCAGTGGGAGTAAACTGGCTTAGACCAAATCTGCGGCTTAAGTAACGGTCGTGGCTAAAACAAAGGATTGGCAAGGGGAGAAACCAAGTGAAGGAAGAGTTGTGAAAGCTAAGAATGTCTTTATTTCTGGAAATTCTCAGAAATGTAAAGCATCAGAGTATTTTTCCCTTTTTACTTTCTAGAATTTATAGACCAGGAAGCTGACTAATCATTTGGAAGGAACATCCATTCAACTCTCATTTACAGATGTGGAACCAAAGACCACAAACAATTATCTGTGAGAGGCCAGGTGCGGTGGCTCATTCCCATATTCCTTGAAGTTTGGAAGGCCAAGGTGGGATGATTGCTTGAGGCCCGGAGTTGGAGACCAGTCTGGACAACATAGACCCCTGTCCCCCCTGCCATCTCTGCAGAAAAATAAAAACTTAGCCCGGCATGGTGGTGCACACCTATAGTCCCAGCTATTCGCCTGTATCCTAGCTACTTGGGAGGCTAAGATGGCTTGAGCTCAGGAGTTGGAGGCTGCAGTGAGCTATGATCACACCACTGCACTCTGGTCTAGGCAAGAGTGAGACCCTGTCTCTGAAAAAAACCCTATACATCAGTGAGGTAGAGAAAGTGGGATTCACTAGTCTGAAGCCTTTTTGTATGACTTGGTGGTGTGTCCCCAGATGGTTTTGATGGGGAAGAAATCTGTAAATAGTAACTGTAGATTGGTACTAAGTTGAAAAAGCAGGAATTTTGATGTGATAACAGACTGGAGGCAAAGAACAGGGAACTGATACTAAAATCAACTAAATGAATATATCTTCATTAGTGAGCCAGAGTATCTAAATTGCAAAATATTAAATTGAGTTACACTCCTATTTAAGCAGGTTGTACTTTTCTAAAAATTGGTTATGTTGAAAAGGTCACAAGTCTGTAGAATAACTGAATTGGGAATTGGAAATACCTTAAGTCTGTAATTTGTATCTAAAATTAGGTTTTCCCTTTGAAGTTGGGAATTTTCTATGGTCTGTGCTGCATGCTTTCACTTTTATTAGTACTTACAGCTGAAGAGATGGGCAGATGTCTAGAAAAATTAATGTTTTGATTCAGGAATTTGTGCCTAGTGATGGCCTCCAATAGGGAATTTTCCAGAGAGAATGAAGACTCATTTTCTAAGTTGAGGCAAATGTAGTTTTTGTTTTGGTATTGTTCTTATATTACAGCTATTAAAACAATCTCTTAAAAAATGCCAGATATGGCCAGGCACGGTGGCTCATGCTTGTAATCCCAGCACTTTGGGAGGCTGAGGCAGGTGGATCACCTGAGGTCAGGAGTTCAAGACTAGCCTGGCCAACATGGCAAAACCCTGTCTCTACTAAACCCCGTCTCTACTAAAAACACAAAAATTAGCTGCGCATGGTGGCATATGCCTGTAATCCCAGCTACTTGGGAGGCTGAGTCAGGAGAATTGCTTGAACCCAGGAGGCGGAGGTTGCACTCCAGCCTGGGTGACAGAGTGAGACTCTGTCTCAAAAAACAAAACAAAAAACATGCTGGATGTAAGGGAATTCAGAAACAGGATGCCATGCCAATTTCCAGGAGAAAATAAAACGGCGAGGGTGCATTAGTTACTTTTACCTGGTTCTGATTTAGTTAATAGGCCCTTCATATTCCAGATATACAGTTTGTGTAGATTTACTGTATTCCTTCATTCAACAAATGAACAGGATTAAAAAATGAAAGCATTAGCTAATAGTAATATGCTTTGTTGTGCCATTTTCAATGAAGGAATAGGAAGTTTAAAGTCACAGTGATATAGCTGATCTGTGTATTTTTAGTTTTCCAGGGTATTTTGGTGTCATTACCATGGATAATTGACACTAACATAAGATAAACAACTCTTTGTCTTATCTTTACTCAAGTAAGAAACCTAACATTTATAGATCCAAACAGGTTTTTTTTTTTTGCCTTTCCTTGTGGCATTGTGTGGAAATCACTTTCTCCTTGTTATATTAATGGAGCACTGTGATCTTTTTGTGTGGTATTTGAAAAATTGTGGTTAAATAGATGTAAAATTTATCATCTTAATCATTTTTAATTATACAGTTCTATGGCATTAAATACATTCACAATGTTGTTCAACCATCACCACCTTCCATCTGTAATTTGGTTTTGATAGAAATCTTTTAAATTTGGGATGGCATTTTCTAGAAGGTGTTGGAAATTAAGTTATAAGAGTGTTTTTCTTGGTCAGTGGTGTGATTGGAATATGTTGCTGGCATTGCCCCACTTCCAGGATTCCTTCCTGATCAATCTGTAGTCCTATACAAGGAAATGACTGTAGCTTACAGTGCTAATTGGTGCCCCCCCCAACTTTTTTTTTGGAGATAGGGTCGCACTCTGTCGCCCAGGCTGGAATGCAGTTGCGAGATCACAGCCTTGACTTCCTGGGGTCACGCAGTTCTCCCACCTCAAGTCCCCTACCCCCACCATAGCTGGGACTACAGGTGCGTGTCACCATGCCCGGCTAATTTTAAAAAAATGTTTAGTAGAGACAAAGTCTCCCTTTGTTGCCCTGGCTGGTCTCAAACTCCTGGGCTCAAGTGATTCTCTCGTCTTGGCCCCCAACAAAGTGCTGGGATTATAGGCATGAGCCACCGTGCTCGGCCAGTGTCTCCATTTTTAAGAACTGTAACTGCCAAAATTTTAGGTGAATTAGTGTGACCGTACTTACCGAGTAGTTAGTTGGTTTTGGTTAAAACTGTTCCCTTCCAGTAATGTAAACTTTTATATCAAGGCATATTTGTTTTCCATTAACTTTACTGACATAAAAAGTGGAAAAAGCAAGTAAATTTCAAAAAAATGGTATACATATTATTAAAATATGGCAAAAAGTGTGATGGTATATAAAACTTGGAAAGTAGTTTAATTCCATTACTAATTTAAATGATTTCCATATTCAAAATTGACAAAAAAATTATTTATGAGGCTGAACATGGTGGCTCATGCCTATAGTCCCAGCTACTCCAGAGGCTGAGGCAGGAAGATGGGGTTCCACCATGTTGGCCAAGCTGGTCTCAACTCCTGACCTCAGGTGATCTGCCTGCCTTGGCCTCCCAAAGTGCTGAGATTATAGGTGTGAGCCGTTGTGCCCAGCCCATAAAGCTTTGATGTTGAAAACAGACCAATTGCAAACTCAGTTTAAAGGTGAATTAAATATATATATATTTATATATTTTGAGACAAGGTCTCACTCTCGCCCAAGCTAGACTGTAGGGGTATAATCATGACTCACTGCAGCCTCGACCTCCTAGGCTCAGGCGATCCTCCTACCTCAGCCTCTTAGCTGGGGCCACAGACACATACCATCACACCTGACTAATTTTAAAAAATTATTTGTAGACACAGGGTCTCACTATGTTGCCCAGGCTGGTCTTGAACTTCTGGGCTCAAACAGTAACTTCCGCCTTGGCCTCCCAAAGTGGTGGGTTTACAGGTATGAGCCACTGCACCCAGCTAAATATTGTTTCTTCACATTTCTGATATTCTGGCCAGGTGTGGTGGCTCATGTCTGTAATCCCAGCACTTTGGGAGGCTGAAGCGGGCGGATCATGAGGTCAGGAGTTAGAGACCAGCCTGGCCAACATGGTGAAACCCCGTCTCTATTAAAAATATAAAAATTGGCTGGGTGTGGTGGTGCGTGTCTATAATCCCAGCTACTCAGGAGGCTGAGGCAGGAGAACTGCTTGAACCTGACCTGGGAGGTGGAGCTTGCAGTGAGCCGAGATCATGCCATTGCACTCCAGCCTGGGCAACAAGAGTGAAACTGTCTAAAAAAAAAAAAAAGTTGAAAACAGTCATTATTTAAATATGGAAGTTTCTTTGTATCATAAGAATGTGACGGTTATAAAGGCTGGGTATGGTGGCCCACATCTGTAATCCCAGCACTTTGGGAGGCCGAGGCAGGCGGATCACCTGAGGTCAGGAGTTCGAGACCAGCCTGGCCAACATGGTCAAACACCATCTCTACTAAAAATACAAAAATGAGCTGGGCGTGGTGGCAGGTGCCTGTAGTCCCAGCTACTCGGGAGGCTGAGGCAGTAGAATGGCGTGAACCTAGTAGGCAAAGGTTGCAGTGAGCCAGGATCGCACCACTGCATTCCAGCATGGGTGACAGCGTGAGACTCCATCTCAAAAAAAAAAGAATGTGACATGTGACAGCTGGGCGTGGTGGCTCACGCCTGTTAATCCCAGCACTCTGGGAGGCCGAGGTAGGCAGATCACAAGGTGAGGAGTTCGAGATCAGCCTGACCAACGTGGTGAAACCATGTCTCTACTAAAAATGCAAAAATTAGATGGGCGTGCTGGGGCAGCACCTGTAATCCCAGCTACTAAGGAGGCTGAGGCGAGACAATCGCTTGAACCTGGGAGGCAGAGGTTGCAGTGAGCCGAGATCGTGCCATTGCACTCCAACCTGAGTGACAGAGCGAGACTCCATCTCAAAAAAAAAAAAAATGTTGGCAGTTACTTCCTTATACTGCCTGGAAATCTGAGTCTTAACCAGAAACCATCATTAAAACTTCTCATAATTTTTTCTATCCTGGTTGTCAGTATCTACAAGGAAAAGCCAAGTACTTCATAACTGAAGTGTTAGCCTGTTATGATCACACTTTTTTCCTCTTCGCAAATAAAAACCTTGTACTTATAATGCATATCAGGGGCTGAGTGCAGTGGCTCATGCCTGTAATCCTAGCACTTTGGGAGGCCAAAGCTGCTGGATCACCTGAGGTCAGGAGTTCAGGACCAGCCTGGCCAACATGGCGAAACCCTGTCTCTACTAAAAATACAAAAATCAGCCGAGCGT